CGTCCATGTCTTCCTCTCAGGCTGGATACGACCCGACCCTCGTTGATGATCCATACAAGATGGTGCCCCCTACTTTTCTAAGTTGGCGATCCATAACATGTTTTTTCTCCCCCATCAACTAGTTACTGTACATCCACCATAAACCATGGTTAAGCCACATTTTTTGGTTGACTTAGCTATTTTTGAGGCCCCACCCGGGTTCGTAAATTGGGAGATCCCCTAGCCACCATGGTTGTTTCAATACTAAAAAAGATGGTCTGATGACTGGATGATTTGCGGGTACTGCCATCTTAGGAGACCTCCTCCTCATTAGCTAAAGATGATCCGTGGATAGCATGCTGTGGATGGTTCCTGCACCACCAAAAGGATGGTTGAAACCCTATAAATAATGGGATAAACGGATAAACCATCTATCAAGTGGTGCAGGATTTCCCAACCATCCACAGTAGGGATGGTGAAACTCAAATTGACTATAGGGATAATGAACTAGTCAACCAGGGTTGAGTATCCATATCATTGCTTTTACAGTTTAGGAATATGCGTTATAGACATACCAGACACTTAAAGTTTACTTCATCCCTACAAATGGTTAGTTAATTGAATTGATACTGTTAGGTGTTTAAGTGTTGGCTAAAGTTAATAATCTATAAGTGACTATAACTGAAAATAGTTGACTATAACTAGCTACGGATAATCAAGTACAATTTACGAACTGTCATTACCCATATCATTAAGTATAGATAACCAATGGATAGGGATGGTAAATTAACTATATACAAGGATACTCAACTATAATTAACTATGGATGAATATCGATATCATTGCAATTACCGTTCAGGGAAAACTAACTTTGACTCACCATGGATTTCTATTTTCAATATGTTGTTCACGATAAATTACCAATCAATCTGGCTGAATTATTTCATAGTTCACCACTCTGCTGAAGTGGGGGAGCTCCCCTTACCAAAACGCTGGCAGTAACACTTTATCTTGACATCACTGAGGGCCTTGTTGAAGCACTCAGATATCTCCTGAAACAATTCGGAGGAAATCATACCCGCTACTGAATCGAACATAGCCATGGAAAATGGCCATAATCAATAGGTGAATTAGAGTTGATCAATTATAATTGCCAACAGAGGTACTCATTGATCATAGTAATTACTCATTGTTGATTGTAATTGCCATGATGATTATTATTGATGGCCATCAACTATGATTTCCATTATAATTGTAATTGCCATCAGAGGTACTCATTTCTGATTTACCTGTTGATTATGGCCATTTTCCATGGCCATGTTCAATTACCTCTGATTGTTCAATTACCTCTGATCCCCTTGGACTTTCTCATTAAATTTTGAGTATGGGCCAGGATTTTTCAGTCCCGTCGCCTGGTTCTCACATGGTATTCCCATTGTATTACCTATATGTATATACACTGTCAATGTATAATATATATATATATACATATGTATATATATATATACGTGTATATATGTATATATATATGTATTCTATAGTTATATTATATATATACGTATGTATATCACCATTACATCACCATTATATAAGCATTCTATCGCCGTAGAATCGGCCCAAACAAAGACCTCCATTCGGGTCCCTTAAAAGCTGTCGATCTCATTCTTTTTCGAATTCAAAAGCTGGTCAATCCCACCACGGATTCGCACAGCAGGATCAAGGCTTCGGGTGTCGACTCGCTTCGGCCCAGATGACTTCAGGAATTCAAAGAAGTGGATGGTTTTCCTATGTTTTCCAGCTGTTTTCAGCTGACGTTGAAGATCGGATCTTACCATGGCAATTCGGCGTCTTAAAATGGTGCTACCCCAATAGCTGGATGGTTTATCATGGAAAATCATGGAAAATCGATATGAATGGATGATGACTGGGGTCTTCTAGCTGAAGTGCACCTTTTTTATCCTTTATCATATCGTTAAAAATGTTCGGGTCCAAAGATATCAAGTGCAAACAGAGTTCAACTGGATGCACACCGAGTCGACGAAATGGAATAAATGTACCACAGTATCAGTGGCTGGAACCTCACATGGCACTCCATATCTCCGTAAGAAAATCTCTGCATATCCTGGACCATTGCTACTGCTCGTTGCTTGTTTCAAACACGAGCGTCCATTCGACACGGACCTCTCGTAGGATTGAAACTCAGATATTTGAAACCACACTCTATGATGTCAGTATGTTTCATAGTGTGTTGCAATATCGATAGTAGTGACAGATGTTGTTGCAAAATTCCATCAGATAGTTGAACTGGAATTACAAAATGTGCAACAAAATATTGATATCAATCATTTTCCTTACAAAAGCCATGACCTTTTTGAATTGGACTTTGAGTGTCGTCTGAAAACCAGGAGTCAGACTGGTCTTCAGCAGAAGTGGTTTTTTTCGGGAGTGAAAGGTATGGCTTTGTCTGAAAATTGCCATGTCACCTGCTGTTAGACAATACCTGTTCATCTAAAAAAAATGGGGTAAATATCCACCTATTTTGATAGTGCAATTTACCCTCAATAGATTGCCATTTTGAGAGGGAAAATGATGATGATCGCCACTGGATTCTAGGGATACCCAGATTGAGATCTGATACCCAGATGCTTCTTTGTGCAGTTGCAAAAAAAGGGATGCCAATCAGAATCTTCCCACAACTTTCAGCGATGCCAAGGATGCTTATTGGAAGCCGAACATGCTATGTTTGATGAAATCATATGTTTATTTATTTACAGTAACTATCTGCTCATCGCATCCCAAATATGGCGGTGTTATGTCCTTTCCATGAAACCAAACCAATTTTGCACACGAGATATTTGACTCGAAGCCAAACATGATGTTTCAAGTCCCCATGATCTTTCAATCATCTAGTATATACCCTCTGGTAAACTAACATAGCTATTGAAAATGGCCATAGAAATAGTGGATTTTCCCATTAAAAATTGTGATTTTCCATACTTATGTAAACGTTTACCAGAGGGTAACCGTCCAACTTATGGGGTTTCCCCTAAGACCCAGCAGTTGATCAACATAACCAGTTCCGCGCCATTGGTTCGAGCCACTGACGAACCAAAACGCTGAGCTAAATTCTCCCAGCAACATCCGGGCCAATGTCAATGAGCGCTGGAAAATTCTGGAAGAAAGACTGGTGGATCCCAATTACAATACAGGAATTTCATCTAATTTCATCAAATGTCCCAATTGTAAATATTCAAATCAATTACAATTTGATGTCATTTCATGCAATTTCAATGATTTGGTGTATGCGTGGCAATCACCGATTCTGGCCAACATGGCAATGGAAAGTTCGAAAATTCGCCTTTCGCGGACGTTGCGGGGCGCCTTTGCTGTGGTGAAACAAACCTTCAAGACAATGGCGAAGGATCGGGGATTAGAGCTGGAAACCAATAGTTGGGCCATATCCAATAGCAAAATCATCTAGATGGGGCCCACTTGGGGTGCAGTGTCCAAAAAAATGTCTCTGGACCAGTGAAGTAGTATGCTGTTTCGCACATCATTTACCAAAATGGTTTCGAAACAAGAATTACTCTTTGATTTTATCCTCCAACCAGTGAGAAAAGGATGTCCATGGTCCAAGTAAACTCATAGCACAGCGTGTCCAGATCGATAATTGAATTTAAGTTGTATGTTTCGTCACCAGTTATAATAGTGTCTTGGTGAGAATACTTGGAAAGAAGATGTAACACGTTGTCATTGATGGTTGATTGCTATATTGAGGTTTCCTAAAATGGAGGTACCCCCAATCATCCATTTTGATAGGAGTTTCCGTTATATACCATCCATTTTTGGTTCCTCCATTTTAGGAAACTCCCATATTACCCCAGCATGTTGCTTGAAAGACCCACTTGGAACACAACCTTCGAACAAAGACAAGCGCTGCCGTTGTCTTGAACCGAGCTACCAACTTTTTGGGGAGCTTGGGTAGCCACCGTTGGGCTACCATTTGCACAGAGAACTCAAGGTCAAAGCTGAGAGGCAACAAACATGAAATGTTAATGAAGAAAACATAAGAAAACCATGGAGATGTCTGGAATAGGGTATACCCCAAAAACGCAAAATCAAACAGGACAGCGCTTTGGCATTCTTGACCTTTTCAAGGTGATGATCTTGGCCCGGAAGGGTTTGACTGAAAATAGGGACTCCCAAATTTCATGGTTGATCATCGCCATGATATGGTACTTTCCCGGTATCCTCGCCAAAAAAAAATGGACACAGATCAGAATCCGAGTAATGATAAAACTCCCAATGATACCATTTCCATGACTCATTTAACATTATTTAACTATAGAAAGTCCCCAATTTGTGATTGATAAATCCCTACAAATTGGTGGGTGACGTCTCCCATTTTTTTAGGTGCCAGATTGTTCGCCGGACGATTTTTGAAAAAAAACATGCCTTGGCAAATGGATGGGTTTTTGGGGAATTTTTTGAACCGGAAAACCCCGTATTTCATGGGACAAAAACCATGGTTTCCGGTGCAGATGTTCCCTTCAACCAATCCAGTGAGTTTGGGAAATGATTCATTGGTTAAACCTCCATGTTCCCGACATTTTCCAGACAAGACATCTGGATCAATTCGACGACCCTCTGGTTATGTCAAAATAGCTATTGAAAATGGTAATTTATAGTTGATTACCCATTAAGCATGGTGATTTTCCATAGTTATGTTAGTTTACCAGGGGGTAATGTGGGTAAAACAATGTCATAAACCACCCATATGTTGATGGCTAACACCACCCATTTCTGGTGATTTGAGGGATGGTGCAAATGGTATTGTTTGATTCACATTATTTCACTGACCTTAGTCTATGTTACTTTGGGATAGTCACGCCCAAAGTAGGTTGAGGCCCCCCAAATGTTGGTTTATAAACCCCTTTACTATAGCTCTACTATAGTTATTGGACTTATAATCTCATGAATAATCCACAAGAATCCCATTATCCCTATTAAATCTCTGTTATAAGCAACCTTCCCCCAGTGAACCTCGAGTTTTCCTCAGAAATCGAAGTCACTGCCGGGTTGGTGACGTCCAGATCCACCAATGTCCTGGACATGGGCGTTTCCATAGCCATGGGGATTCCAAGTTCGGAGGATTGGTTATGTAATGTGGCTAAAACTGGCTGCCATATGCCATAAACACACCATCCCCCAGGAAAATCACCATTTTTTGTGAATAGTGGTGACTTCCCATTTCCAGTCATGGGTGGTTTATGACAGTGTTTTACCTCCATAAACAGAAGTGTTCCTGGGAAAATCCACTAATAAGCTTGGCTCAAAGCTTGGGAACTGTGGCTCATGCCATAATTTTCCCAGAAAAATAACCATGGCTACTAATCGTTGTTGCCCCGATAGCATAAATCGCCATTCTTGCTTGGTTCATCCCTTAGTTTGTATATGTTTCTATAGTTGTCTATACCCATATGAAAATCATGTTGGTTAGTCACCCCTCTGCTGATCTATGGACAACACGGGCCAATCTTTACGAAAATCATGCGCTTCGAATTCTCGGATTGCACCCAGGGACTTACATCTTCTGGTTGGTGGTTGAGCCACCCCTCTGAGAAATGTCAGTCAGTTGGGATGATGACATTCCCAATATATGGACAAATAAGAAATGTTCCGAACCACCAACCAGTCTTGTTCTTCAAGTGGGGCAATTCGTATCATCAATTCTGGCATGACCCAGGAATAGTATCCCCACAATGGTTGTGAAAGGTGGTTGTAGCATAAGGTTCCTTACATGGTATGTAGATCCTTATTATATAATTGATTGATGATCATCCCTGAATATGGCTGCATAGTCCAACTTTGATGATAGTTGGAGATATATCCCAGCATATCACACTATTGTCTCCAATGGTTAATGGTTAAATCCAACTAACTTTACCATGGCACGTAGATAAAACATTATAAAACCATCATCTATACCGTCTATACCCTCTGGTAAACTAAGATAGCTACGGAAATGGCCCATAGAAACAGATGACTTACCAATTAAAACTATAGATTAACTATCATTTATAGATGATTCACCGATTTTTCCTCCCAGATTTACATTTTAAAATGGTGATTTTCTCTCCACTTCGCAACATCGAAACGGAGCTGCCCGCGCCTCGTCCGACAGCTCGTCTTCCTCGGACTCGTTGAGAATGTCATCTTCGGACCTCGTCGTGTGACGTCGTGTGACGTCGTGTGACGTCAGCCACGGAGCTGGGAGGTAGGGATGATCTAAGCACGAAAATATGAATGTAGATGACTGTATATTACTGTATATTACAGTATCAAAGTATAAGTACATATGTTGTACATCTAGTCAAATCATGCATGTCAAATCAACATTTTGGATGGGTAGATGTTTCACTCCCGTGTTCGGTCGCCATATCATCTATGCTATATCAGAATTCTGCTTCGATTGCCATGGCCAGAGAGCAGGGATGTTGCCCCAGACTCGTTGCTGGTCAAATATGGTAAATTCGCCTTGACTGATAGTTGGTAATCTTTGATTCACATCCCATTCTGGTGGGTTACTATCCCCATGTCCAATTATACAAGATTATAGCTCCGTGTCTTTATATCATCAATCCCTAAACCATTGGAAATGGGGATGCAAACCTGAAAATCTGCGGACATTTTACTCAAGAGCATACCCAGGTTGTTGTCAAAACCAAGATTTACGCAATGGTTGAATCAGTGAATCTGGTCTCTGCCGGAACAGTCTCATCACCGAACCGAGATTCAAAGCCTCAAAGCCATGCTACAACGATTTCTCAGCGGAAATGTCAATTTATGTGTGTATATATATACATGTATATATATACCATATCCATCTATATCGATCAAGACCAAAATTTCTCCACATCTAGGTTTGTCTAAAAGATTGTCTGAATGTAGGGTACCCAGAAAATTGGTTATCATTTGTTCAATTGAATGGCCATTAAATGTCTTGTCTTCAGAATCCCTGATTTTTGATTCTTCAATCCCCATCAATTTGCTAGTCAATCCATTTTAAATCCACCATGCCTATCCAAATTTCCCAAAAAAAAACTTGCCACATCTCAGTTTCCCGCAACTTTCCCATGAATTTGCTGGAATCCAGCATGTCCATACAGGTTCACCCTCAACCAAGTTACCCTAGGGTAAACGTTTACATGTGGAAAATCACCATCTTTAATGGGTACATCCATAAATGGGCCATGGCTTCCACTGTTACTTTACCCATTTGGGTCCCCAAAAATCTCACCTTTCTCCCAACCCCGATGCAACGTCCACGCTGTCCACCAAGCCACACGCTGTTGCCGCCACCAATCAACACGGAGCCTTCCGGCGGAGAGACAGCACCTCAGTGCTAAGTGGTCAGATTTAGCATTGAAATATACGGAGATAATGGGGGTAAAACAATGTCATAAATCACACATGACTGGGATTGGTAACCATACCACCTATAAAAATGGTGATGACTGGGGATGGTTTATTATTGTATATATAAATGGTGAACTCGGGGATGGCTTTTTATTGTTTTATAAACATTATAACCAGAGTTCATGGGATTAATGGTATTAGGATTTCAATATGATCAAATGACTCGAGGTTCTGATCGCCGATGAAGTCAATAGACAATTTTGTTGCATCATTTATACAATTCAAATCCCATTGAATCTCATTAAATCAATCATTCAGTGGATCATAATCCCAAAATGGTAGTTTAATGTGGATTGTTAATACACGAGTCATGGGACTCTAATGGGATTATGATCCACATAATCCCATTCAACTACCTGAACTATCCCAAATCCCATAAAATCCCATTAAACATCATTCAACTATGACTATCATCCCATTCCGATCCTTTTAAATCCCACTGAATCCCATGAAAAGTCCCATTGACATTAAATCAATCATTATGTCCCTTATAATCCAATGACTATGGGTATCATAGTGATCCAATATAGTATGATAATGAATACTATGATAAATTAAACCATCATGAAATGGTATCAATCCCAATAAATAAATCCAATCCCATTCAACTACCTGAACTCATATATATATTATACCAATCCCATAGATAGATAGATAGATAGATAGGTAGATAGATAGATAGATGGATAGATAGATAGATAGATAGATGGATAGATAGATAGATAGATAAGTAAGATAGATAGATAGATAGATAGATGGATGGATAGATAGATAAGTAAGATAGATAGATAGATGGATGGATAGATAGATAGATAGATAGATATTCCCATTATACAAGTGGATTATAATTCCATGAAATCCTATCAAATCCCATTAAACATCATTCAACTATGACTATAATCCCATTCCAATCCTTTTAAATCCCATGAAAAAACCCATGAAAAATCCCATTGACATTAAATCAATAATTGGTTTATGGCATTGTTTTACCAACATATGCCAACAACTATGGGTATCATAATGATCCAATATAGTATGATAATGGGTACTATGATAAACTAAACTATCATGAAATGGTATCAATCCCAATAAATAAATCCAATCCCATTCAACTACCTGAACTCATATATATATATATAATACCAATCCCATATATATAAATCCCATGAAAAATCCCATTGACTGCAGTCTCTCCCAAATCCCCATCTCAATTGCAGTCTCGCCACGCTCACGTTCTCCAAGTCCGCCCAGCCCGCCGCCCAGCACGCCACCGGCGCTGTCCTCGGAACCTGGGCGCTGTCCCCGGTTCGGGTCGAGGAGTTCGATCCCAAAATGCTCCAAAAATGACATGAAAATCACCATTTCGGAGTGAATTTAGGTGAATTTCGCGAAAAAAATTGAAGTGACTAAGTGACATGGCGATTTTGGATGGATTGCTGGCCTAAAGACTTAAAACATAGAGTTAAAAAATGCTGGTCAAGAATCGAAACATTGTCATTTGGGCTGTGTTGGGGCCATTTGCGGCTATGTTGGGCCAATGATGGGCCATTTGGGTATGTTGGGAGCCAAGCCCGGGTCCATGTTGGGTGATTTGGAGGCTTCCAACACCGGGCCACAAAAAAAAGGTAACCACTTTCTGTTGGATCTGCCAACCCTGCCCCTAAGAAAAGTCAAGTAAATGATCTATTTGCTTTTATGTGTTTTTTAATGTGGAATGTACTTATAAAGCAATACATGCCCATTCCCAAGCAAATGATGTTTTTGTTGCTTGTAGCCTTAGTCCCTTGTCGGCCCTCCTTGCCATGCCCGGATCCCACCACATCGCACCTACGCTGATGGGGGGATCGCTGCTGCCCGATTCCGGACTAGACTCCTGTGAATGATTCTATGGTTTCGTATACCATCTATCATCATTTACCTGTTGTTAAACGGGGTTCTTCAAACCCCTCTATGAATCAACCAACCAATGGAAAAAGGACATCTATGGTATGGGAATCATTATCTGGTTGGTGGTTGAGCCACCCCTCTGAAAAATTTGGGTTCGTCAGTTGGGATGATGACATTCCCAATATATGGAAAAATAAAATTCCTGTTCCAAACCACCAACCAGTTATTGCAACTTGGGTGGCGCTATTAAAATGGATTTGGATGGTAACTGGGATAGAGTGTACGATGCGAAGTGTTGATGAAAAATTTGTGTACCCTCTGGTAATTTGTTACATAGCTATTGAAAATGGCCCATAGAAATAGTTGATGTACCTATTAAAGATGGTGGATCTTTCCAGTTCGCTATGTAAACGTTTACCAGGCCGGGTATACGTCATTCCCGATGCATCAAGGAGTCGACTGCGGAATCAAGAAATGTGGGTTTCGGAAAATTGGATGATCCCCAGTCGTCACCAGATTTCAATACCAAAAGGCTCATCCATGACGACTGGATGAGAACTGGAAAAACCCCCGTGACTTAACCTCCAAATAGATTGGCATGGAAATTGATATATTTTTTTCTACCCTCTGGTTATGTCAAACAGTTTGCTATTGATCTATTGATTAAATACCCCATTTCTAGTTGGTTTACCTATTCAAAATGGTTGGATGTTCTATAGTTATGTAAACGTTTACCAGAGGATAATCCAACAATGATGGGTATATCCTACAGCACGGGTTTGACCATCTCCACAGGGATTTTGGCAAAAAATCTGAAGACATCCACCCGCTGGATTTTGGCAATGGATAGCAATGGGTCAAAACATTGGTAGCCTGGTACCCTTATTGTATTATTCAATCTTACTCTATATTATATCCACCATTTAAATAAATAAATAAATAAATGAATAAATAAATAAATATATATATATATATTATATGTATATATATATATGTATATATATATAATGTTGCAAATAAGTTGTAGATATCCATTTTGGTGTCGCTCAACTTGCCATTCTTGGTGGATAAACTTGGGTGTGTCTGGAAATGCGGTATACCCCTAACAAGGGCATTTGAGTGGGCAAACTGATCATATTCGCACTTTTTGGCCGGTTAAATAAGTTAGATCAGATCTTGATGTTTACTACTTAAAGTTCTCATGTTTGGTTCTGGTTTCCTATTTTTTTTTGGGTTGCCCTCTGGTAATCAAAAATTGAAAGAGTCCCTCGAGGGGGCAACTGGCCGCTCACAAACGTCGAGTGGAAGTTGAGTACAGTTTGAACATGTTTTTTGCAAAACATGATATTTAACACTATTGTTAAGCACAAAAGTACATCGAATGTGTTTTGAGTGTGTTTACTTATCCATGAATTTGGCTGGAAATCGACCATTTAGTTCCATGAAATTCCCATTTAAACCTCCATTGAGTTCGCGGATGTGCCATTCTGCCACCTTTGATTGCCACAGGGTATCACCAATCATACTCCATCCATATTCCATGATATTCCAATAATCTTCCATGCTATTCCCATCATATCCCTATGACATAGCACCATTATCATAGTGGTTTATGAATTCAACGAAAAAAAAAATCGTGAACTTGTCCCATTTCAACCTTCCACTTTTTTGGTTTCCCATCATAAACATGTGTTCGGTTTTTTCCGGTCAATCCCATTGAAGCCTCCATCAAAACCCCATTTTTGCCATGTTTTTCCCATGTTTTTCCCATGTTTTTCCCATGTTTTTCCATATTTTTCCCATGTTTTTCCCATGAAAATCCCACGTTTTCCCATGGAAAACCTCCACAAACCTCCGCAGCTCCCGGGGTCGCGTCGCTCCCAAACCGTCCTCGTCGTCGCCCGCCTCCATGGAGCCGTCCACCGCTGCGGAGGGCGGCATCCATCTGGGCGGAGAGATAGATTATATAAGTTTGTGGATATATATACATATCTAAATATATATATATATAACTATATATATATTGTATATATATATATAGTTATATATATAGTTATATATATAGTTATATAGTTATATATAGTTATATATAGTTATATATAACTATATATATATTGTATATATCTGGTTGGTGGTTTGAACCCCTCTGAAAATATTATGATCTTATGTGTATTATAATATTACAATAGAGAATCTAACCAGTATTTACATATAATACAAATATTACAAACTATCCCAACTAAGTATATAACTATTGTAATATTATATATATATGTATATATATAGTTATATAGTTTCTTGGAAAGATTATGATGATAATATATATATATAACGATATTACTATATCTGGCTGGTGGTTTGAACCCCTCTTGAAAAATATGAGTTCGTCAATGGGAAGGATTATCCCATATATTATGGAAAAATAATCCAAATGTTTGAAACCATCAACCAGACTATATTACTATATTATGTCAGATTATGGTGAGAATATAGAATATATGTATATAATCTCTATAGTATAGATAATAGTGTGTATTATGTATATATATACACCCTTTTGGAAGATTTCCCCCCCCAAACCAATCAGGATGAAATTGACAGAAAACCATGGGTTATGATCAGCCAAACATTGGGAGGTCCTGTAGATGTTCCTAACTCAGGAAATGGGTGGATTTGGCCACCAAACATCCATTGAAAAGATGGATCAATGGTTATCAATTTTTACCAACAAGCATTTGGATTTTGAGAAGAACAAATTGGCGGATAGCCTCTGGGAAGATGGTTGGACAAAAAAAACAGTTACAGGTGGATTGTCCATTGCCAGGTTTGTAGGTAGATAGATTGATAGATAGAGAGAGAGGGTATGGAAGATTCTCCCTCCTGCAAAGCACTCAAGGGAGAGTAGGTACCTCAACCAAACATGGCAATGGAATCAATCAGCATGGGCATGGATGCCATGGATGCTGCAAACCAACCTGGGTAAAACCCCAGGAACCTGATGAAAATTGGATTTCAAAGATGGCTTAACTCATGGACATGCGAAAAAAACATTGGGTTTTCATGGACAACCCCGGGTTTTCTCATGGCCAAGCACGGATCTTCTGAACGGGAAAATGGATGGGACTCTTTGGCATGCCATGTATCATTCATCGGCCCGGCAGTAGTGGTCACCAGCGCATCCATGGGACTCCCTCTTTCTTCATCAACCAACAGTGATAACTGGGATATCTATGCTACAAACCCATCACCGCGAAAGCTAGAAAATGGATGAGAAACTTACCATGCAAAGGAACTGTAAGTCCAAAAAAGACCCTAGAAAATGGAGATGGAAAGGAACTGTACCATGGATGATCGTTTTGGACATGTAAAGGAATTGTACCATATTTGGCTTTGTTAGATTTCAGGACTGTACTTGCAAGCCGGATGCTCAAGTGTTGCTGGGGCCCGCAGTCCCGTCAACATCACCTGTGTCGTTTCGTTGCTTATGTTTCAAAATAAAGGCACTAGACTCCCAAATTACACGATTCATCAAAAAAATAAATCAACCTCGTAGGAGTTGGTTCCTCACACAAGTCCGACATAAATCCATACAAATCTGGATTCCAATCTACCCTCTGGGAATTTAACATAGCTATTGAAAATTGCCATAGAAAGTGGATTTTCCCATTAAAAATTGTGATGTTCCATAGTTATGTAAATGTTTACCAGAGGGTAATTCCCATCTTTTTTGCCAAGTTCTTCAAGAAAAAAAACACGAAGTTCAACCCACCATGACGGATCTCGTTTTACCCGCGCCTTTTCTGGCCGTGGATCTTCTTGGGCTTTCGCGGCTTGCCTTTCTCGTCCTGAAAATGCCATGGGTTACTGGTTGGTGGTGCAATAACCATCTTTAAAAATATGAGTTCGTCAATGGGAATGATTATCCCATATATCATGGAAAAATAATCCAAATGTTTGAAACCACCAACCAGGTTAGAGTCTGTTAGAGGTTGTGAACGATGCTTACTTTATAAGTGACATCAGAAATGGATCAGAAATGGATCTCTTTTGCGGGGTATGTTTCTCAACTCATCTGAGACGATGTTTGATTTTTACGATTAACAAAAAATCCACCTATCTGGGTAAATTATAATAATTCACTAACCTGAATTAAGGCCATTTGGGGATGATTTCCCTTATTAACCATGATTCCAGTGAGGTCGCAGTGAGGTCATTATAATTTACCCAGACCTATTCATTGGGGAGAATGAAGCAATATTGATCTTATGGGTTGGTTTATAATCAACATAGTTAGGGTGTATCATCCTATTGCTATGGTTGATATATGTATGTTATATAATAGAATTCATTAGGAATCAAACCTGGCAATGGCCAAATTTTGAATCATAATCCCATGACTATTCATCACTAGTTGGTGTTTGAGCCGCCCATCTGCAAAATATATCAAAATATTGAAGTCAGAATTTGGGTCATCATCGAATTTCTATGGTTCAAAGTCAAAAATAAGGCCTCATTTTGGGGCTGACCACAAGTTGCATGTCTCTCTTTTCTTAGCGAATTAAACGTGTCAGTTCACTCAAGAATCATCCACGCGTTGTTTTTTGGCGTGGTGCAACTGGTTGCCCTCCATCTGAGACTTGAACTTGGGCATGGTTCATCTCCAGGATAGTCGTGAGGAACTGATCATCACCGGTACAACCAAGTCAGACGTGAAGGATAACTCAAGTCAGACGTGACCTATGAACCTCAGTTGTTGACCAGTACCAACAGGGGGTGTTTGTTGTGTTGTCAAACCCACAAAAGACGAAGATCTCTGGGGTAAAACCCACCTCAAAAATGACGATGAAATAATGCTGAACATCTCCGCCTGAAAATAGGCAAAAGTAACACACACAAAATCTCTTGGAAAATCCAGCATCATTTTCCCCATTTTTGGCCATTTATGGCTTACAGATGTGTCACGTATCCCTTGGTCCTCTTCACCCCTGAGGAGCCGCCACTCTTCGTCGCGCAACCTCTTCTGCATGCCTCAGGGCCAGGCTCAGGCCGGTGTCGACGTGATCGCACGGGGCTTAACATCTGGTAAACGTTTACATAACTATGGAAAATCACAATTTTTAATGGGAAAACTCACTATAAATGGCAATTTTCAATAGCTATGTTTGACATAACCAGAGGGTAACATCTGGAACAGAAAGCTTTTTGGTAGGAAATGATCTATCGAAATGGTCAAATGGTGAGTGGGATGTGAAATTCATCCGTGTGGGGCTAAAGATCGGTCGAATTGCCGTAGGTACAAATGTAGAAACGTCATTTGTCTTACAGGATGGGGCCCCCCAGTTATAAGTTGGTTTGTAAACCATTATAGTCCCCATTAACTATAGTTATATTTACCATAAACCATTGTTAAGCCACTTATAAACCAACTGAACGCTATCTTGGGGGCCCCATCCCGTAGGGTTTGTTCTGAAAATAAGGTACCCCAAAATCCAAAGTCCAGTGGTTGATCATCATTTTCCTCATGTTCCCCATCTAAATGACCATTTCTAATTTCGCGAAGGTCCATATTTTTTTTGCGCCCAAGTCGTCTAGATAAGACGACTGGAGAAGAAGTGTGAAAATCAATGGTATGAATTATGGTTTGCATCATGGTTCGTCATGGTTACTCTCTGGTAAACATTTACATAACTATAGAAAATCACCATGTTTAATGGGAAAATCCACTATTTCAATGACCATGGCTTCAATAGCTATGTTTGACACAACCAGAGGGTAGTCATGCAAACCAGACTCCATGACTCTCCTTTCTCTGGCTTTTGATGTTCCAGCAGGTCGTGTATTTCTGTAAGTCAATAGCACGGTGCAACATGAAGCCTCAGCAATATACCTTGGAAGCCGCCAGAACAGCCTTCCTATATATACACATTTAATGAAACATATATACATTATATAATTATATTAACATTCCTATATTTATACATGTACTTTATGTGTTGACAATTATTTATATAGGACAACTGCTCCTATATACATAATTAAAGATTCCGAAACGAACCCGGCTGCTGAAATGATTCCATTCACCCCCAACCGGGCCGTTCACCGGGGCAAAACCAAGATACGTTTCAGGGCGCGATCGTTCTCCTCCATTCGTTCTGATTCCTCCTTGTTGAGCACGTCAATTTCCTCATTTTTCGGGGAGCTCAAATTGGTTGCAGGGGGATACCAAGCAACGATAATGGGTGGATAATGCGTAATTATGATATGGCTATATTAGACATATACCAAGATTTAATATATTGATATATGATATATTGATGATCAGGGGGATACCAAGCACGTATCATATACCATCTGGTTATGACTAACATAGCCATGGAAAATCCCTGGCCCATAAATGGAGGTTTCGTTCGCTGGGAAAATCATCTATTTTTATGGGCCATGGCTTCCACCATGGCTATGTTAGTCATAACCAGAGGGTAAAAAAATATACTGGGATATGATGTAAAATCGCGATTCGAATAGTCAGATTTTTCATCTTTCTGGCAACGTTCAATGAAACAGAAACCAGTGGCTGAAACCAGGGGAATTGTGCCGCACAAAAAAAGGGGCAGGATATGCCTCAGGTTTCATGTTTCAATCCCGTTTGGGCCCTTGTTAATGCTCCGGTAGTCTAGAGAGTTCTACTTGTACAGTTCGATAGATCAGATTTTCTCCCAATTGAGCAGTGTTCCAAATCCCTCTATCATTCCATTATACTGGTTGGCTAATAATCCCCAATATATGAAGGGTAGTATAATCCCCAAACTCATCATCAACGAACAGGGGTTTTGAACATTGCTCAATTGTCCCAGCAAAAAGTTAGGATTTTCCATTCTCACGTTACCCTCTGGTAAACTAACATAGCTATGGAAAATGACCCATAGAAATAGTTTATTTACCCATTAAAGATGCTGATTTTCCTAGTATGTAAACGTTTACCAGAGGGTAAACCTCCATTTTCCTATGGTTTTCCTATGGTTTTCCTATGGTTATACCACTATAATCCCAGTTTACCAGGCCGGGTTACCACCAACCAATTAGCTGGCTGGCTAGGTGGCCATTCTCGAGGGATTTCCGTGGTGGTTGACCAATCCCAAATCCCAAAAGTTTCAGTTTAGACATCCAGCAAAAGAATGCTCAAGTTTGATGTAGCATCTATCTATCTGTCTATCTGTCTATCTGTCTATCTAACTATCTAACTATCTAACTATCTAACTATCTAACTATCTAACTATCTAACTATCTATATATTCATATAATGTCATATATAAACCTACATACAGCAAGTGCATCATATTCAGCAACCTCCATGTGTCACCAAGTCGTGTACCCGGCCGAGAGGCGTGCTCGAGATAGTCCAGGTTGCGGAATCGACCCACGTACCTTGCGGAATCGCTTGGTGGATGTTGGTGGAACTAACCGGCCTGGTCAACTGGGATTTTTTGGTGGTATAACCATAGGAAAACCATAGGAAAACCGTAGGAAAACCATAGGAAAACCATAGGCAACTGGGATTTAATGGGATTTAATGGGATTACCCTCTGGTAAATTACCCTTCATAGGTGGTGATCCTCAGGTAAAATCCACCATTTTCTAGCTGGGTAAATCAACTATTTCGACTGGGCAAAGCGGTTTCAAGTTCCTAAATTTCGACTGGATCTCCCAAGTGTATTATGTCTGGTTGGTGGTTTCAACCATCTTGAAAAATATGAGTTCGTCAATGGGAAGGATGACATCCCATATATTACGGAAAATAAAAAATGTTAGCACCGAAAATGAGAGTTTTAGTCGGAACATCCCATGTTTAACGAATATGAGGGGAGAATCTTAGGCTGATGTGATGTCACCAGGTGGGACTGCTGTTGCTGCTGTTGGGCCCATTGGTTAGCTACTTCTCCTGGCAGGTCGCAGGCATCAGGTCACCTCTGGAGACTCTTCTTCACCTACCCAAAATGGTAATGACTAACACTTTGCGAACTTGAAAATGACCATAAAAATAGTGGATTTACCCAGCTAGAAAATGGTGGATCTGTCCATAGTTTTTTGTATGTTTACCAGAGGGTAGATGTTATCCATCTGTGTAATTTGTGCACTTTCACATATAAATATGGGGGGGTCCATAAATGGAGTGCCCAAAATGGATGGTTTACAAGGGAAAATCCTACTAACATGGATGATTTGGGGGTTACCCCCTATTTCAGGAAAACCCCATATACGTACAGATGGATTAAATATTCCACACCGATTGTTGCAAAATTACTTCACCCGATAGTGTTCAAGTGTTTCGCTGGCTTACGTTGTCTATTTCGACCACTATCCCCAAAAAGTATTGTGCATTTCGAGGAACTGGATCCATTGCTTTCTCATGATTCTTGCTTAAACCCCCTGGAGGTTGCCCCGTTCTTGGGTTTACATTTCAGCCAATGTGGGCAAGGTTTAAAACTTCGAAACCCACTTCCACTGATGGACTCGTTTATTTTTGCTTGGGCCAAAAATTCCGATTTCTCCGAAAATCGGAGAGTTTTAAGCGTTGTTGCGTCCGCAACGTGTAAAAATCCATGATCTCCCCAGGTTTCATAGGCGAAATCCCTGGCTGAATCCCCGGTGGTTCAATCAGACAGGCACCTCATTTTCACCACAGAAACCGGTGGAAAACCCCCACCCAAAAAGGCAGACCCCATCCACGACCCTTGCAGCGGGGTTTCTGTTCATAGAAGCGCTCCAACTCTTGCTCTAGCTGTTCATACCTCAGTGCCAACAGCTGGATGCCAGGACCGTGGTAGGTATTGCTTGTAGTAAAGCCAACAATAAATAATACGATATCGATGTTTTGTTCAAAATCATATGGGTATGGCTAAGTAAGGTGAAATCATTTATTCTGAATTGAGTAATGTTCAAATGATTCATTTCATATCATTCATAAATATTGGTGATAAATAAAATAAAATTCAGGATAAATGAATATGAATACTCATAGTGAATAAATGAATATTTCTGTTCATTTGTTCCAGGATGAATTGATATTGCTGATGTGTCATCGGGATGACGCGAGCCAATCACAGTTGAACTTCACCCATATTTGTCATGGGGAGACGAGGAAGAAAATCGAGCAAGTAAGTGGTATTTTTTCCATGAAATTGGTAAATCACCATTTTTAATGGGTAAATCCACTATTTCGACTGGGCCATGTTCAATAGCAAACTGTTTGACATAACCAGAGGGTATATTCCATTAAGTGGATTTCTTTATCCCATTAAACCCCATGGAAAATCCCATGGAAAATCCCATTAAACCTCCATTTTCCTATGGTTTTCTTGGCAGATCCCCATCATTCTCCGACCAAAATCTCCTACCAGCACCGACGCCAAGTCACTCATCCATAAAGGCGGGACGGACGCTGGCCAGACTTCCCAGACGCTTGCGGCAACGCTCCAACTCCTAGCGCTGGGCTGAGGTCCGATGCTGGGAAACATGAATATAATACATATATATATATTATATATTATATATATAATGTGTATATATATATATATAATGTATAGATATATATATAATGTAAATATATACATAATGTATATATATAATGTATATATATAATGTGTATATATATATATGAATATATACACGTTGATGGACCGATTAGAGTTCGTTTACTACCATTTATACTTTCATGTATCTATCATATATCATCCATGTGTATCCGTTGATAGCGATGTTTGATCCATATGTAGCCAGTTATGTCCATTACTATCCATTTATTACCGTGTACATATGCAGTTGATGTATGACTTCTTCAATGGGAGTCACCCATCTATAGTAGTGAAGCACTGGGAAAGCCACAAATCTATGTAAATCCCTATGAAAATGGACTCATGACCATTCCCCAAGGATGGGTTTGATCAGTTTAATCCAATCCAACTTGACCCATACCACAGATGGCACATCTCCTCCCACTTTGGTCCTGTTTCTTCTTCTTGATCTTTCCCTCTAAACCTTGGTAGAAACTCTGAGATCGGGCCGACCATGTTTTTATTTTTGGCCGCTGGGAATTCACCCAACGAATGACGGAGGCAGTTTGGCACGCTGGTTATATGATGGGATTATAACATATATATATAATATGACTATCTGGTTGGTGGTTTTATATAACCATCTTGAAAAATGATGGAGTGAAAGTCAATGGGTTTCGGATGACATCCCATATCTGAAATGGAAAATTTAACATGTTTGAAACCACCAACCAGGAAATGTCCAGCAAACCATGGCTATGACATGATTTTCTACTGTGAGCCTTTCTATCAACTCGCTTCTCTTGGCCATATACGACTGGCTGGGCTTCCAGAAAAAATATTCCAAGATTGCACGGTGACTTGACTCGATCGAATGCGGACCCCAAAGGCAACAAAAACACAGCAAAAAATCGAAAAAAAAAACTACAGCAATATTTGACGAAATGATTCAGTGTATTGCAACCAGCTTGAAGACCCAAAGCAGCTGGGTTGATCATCATGTTCCCGACAAAATGGGTGAGTCAGATTCGTGGTTTTTTCACCCGTCTTCCACACCCAAATAAATCAGACTTTGGTTATACTACATCCAAATATTCCCATGAAGTATTACCACTTATGCGGCCAAACTGATGATTGGTCCCCGTTACAAGATAAATAGATGAGATGTGATGAGATGTGCCAACTGGACAAGGCCCATTGATAGATGATTTCCCCCATCTTCAGTTGCCACTATCATAGAATTGGATGATGGGAAAATTTACAGGAAACCCCGATCTATTTGATGGTAAAAACCATGGTTTCCTGTAATTTTTCCCTTAAACCAATCCAATGCCACTAACCCTTCACACTTCATCAGATCAAGCCACTCTTCTCGTCTCGCTGCAATTCATCGGACATCTGTTTCAACTGTTCCAAGCTTTGACCGTGGCTCCCCAGCAATTGTTTCACCTGGGCACAGGTTACGTGACGGTGATCTCTTGGGGAAGACAATGGCTAGGCTGGTGAATTATCAGCAATATCACCGACCTAGAGCTGATTTGGCATATAGAAATTCAATCTATCAGCCCCTATCTGGTGCTTGTGCCTTGCTGGGTTACCCCTCTTCTTCATTCAGTGGGAAAAGGACATATGTCAACGACTTCACCAATCCCCACAAAAATTATGTCCTGAAAACTTGGAATTAGTCGGTTAGTTCACTCTTTGAAATCGGAAACCAGATTGTTTGGGTGTGGGTCAAAAGGGAAACCAAATCCCCACAGATTTCGGCCATTTTAAGCACTTCATCCATCCAACTTTCAAGGTAAAGTTGCCATCTTCCCTGGCTTTGATTGCTCATTCTGGAAGATTCAACCATCCTGAATTTTTACTCATCTGTGGGTCCTAAAATATCAATGGGGGTACCAAATCATCCAAGTCATAAAAAGTAACCATTGCCAATCTCAGATACCCTGCAAGTTTAGCAAGTTTAGCTGGTTAAGTTCATATACCCCCATCAAAATGGCGTCCATTTTACTAAGAGAAAGTGGCTACTTTAGACTTTAGCTATCTAGCCACGTCAGAACTGTTGTCGGTCATTTCCCACCGTTTAAAATCCCATAGTTCAACCATATTTCAGTGTCACCATTGTCAGCATCTCTAAAATTTGCCTGGTAATGTGATTCTAGGTCCAACTAACTACGCTATTAGTAGTTTCTATACGCTATTTTTGTACACAATCTAGGTCTAACTCACCATTTCCCACCGTTTCAAATTCGTTTCAAACTCATGGCCAGCCATTGATCGACTCATTTGACCAGCGGCTGCTGTTTCGACCATTTCGCTCTCACGTTCGCTCCCTGATTTCGGATCACGTTGGCGTGGATTATTCCTACAATGTGGAGGGCCCCCAAGATAGCTAAGTTGCCTTATAAGTGACTTAACTATGGTTTATGGTAGATATAACTATAGTATTCATGGGGTTTATAAACCAACTTATAACTGGGGGCACCATCCTGCAATTGACGGGAAGATTTAACAGTACCAATGCTATAATCTGCCGCTAAATCAACTCTTAAGCCAAACATGTTAATGGATTGTCCAGGATATCTATGTGTAAATTTGCATATCTATAGATTCCCTGCATTTTTTCCTTTAAACCAATTTTGTGGAAAGAGGATGGAGAACGGCAGCTGTTTGAAACCATGGTATTCTTGGAGGGAGAAATGCGCTTTGTCTGCCCACCAGTGAGCTGTTGTTGTCACACTGATTTTGTATGACTATTTTTGGCAGGAAGGAGGAATATGTTCACCAATCAAGACACTGGTTGGTGGCTCAGCCTTTCCCTTAAAAGTACGCATTCGTCATTGGGATAAGACGGATTTGATCAAGTATCTTTGTTGAGAGAATGAGAGAACATGAATCTCTCCAAATGATTCACAATCTTCTGCATCTTGCGCCAATTCTGCAGCGATTTTTTGGTTTTTATCATGGAAAACGAGGGTCCCTCACACCGTCCACGCCTAGGTTGCGAGACATACCATCCTCAGGGCGCGCGGCCAGTATTGGTTGCTCAATGGGGGTGACTCTTGGGGTGACCCCTCAAGAAGTGGCAAAAAGGACATCTATGCCACCAAGTGCTACTTCAAAAACCTTCATCTTTGGCCTTGATTCTTGATTGCCTCTAGACTTTTTCAATCTTGGCAGAAACCCAATTTGTGTTGGTTGCACCCAATTTAAACTGAGTAGTTCCTCCACGTTGACCCCCTTTCGTGGTTCAGACACACCTTTTTGATGGCAAAAAAAGGCACATCTTTCTGCAGTTCGAAAAAGCCGGACCCGAATCTACCTGTCACCAAGGTTCCAGGAAGGTCAACGCCTTCTCCCTGTCCTGTCTCACTTCTTGCTCCTGTGCTTCCGCGTTGATACCCAGCTGGGCTCATTTGTGACTAGGTCAGATGGCGATTTCGTGGAGCCCAAAACCATTTTTGGATGTTTAGGAACCAACATGAACCAACCATTCTATGGGAATATGGCAGTGGGTCAAAACCTTGTACCCCTGGTGAACATAAAAATAGCTGGGATTTATGGATGTTCATCCCTCTAAAAATGGTATTAATAAGGTATTGATTCATAGCCATATGGGATAAATATATACACAATATGATAAAAATGGGGATTGCCGGGCATCGAACAGCCCAAGGACTTGGCCCATGCCCGAACACACTAAAAAAATCATAGCCTTGCTAGTTGTAATAAATATATTATCTGGTTGATGCTTTCAACCCCTCTGAAAAATATGAAAGTCAGTTAGGATGATAGTTCCCACTATATGGAAAAACAAAAAATGTTCCAAACCACCAACCAGTTATTCTGTGTTATAGCCATTAATTATATTAAACCATATATACAGTAAATCCCCCTTTTTTTGGAGGTACAGGGTGGTTTTCCAGTGATGTGAACGTTGGTTTAGATTCACCCCATGAATACTATAGTTATCTAGTTATCTAGTTCGTTATATCTACCATAAACCACAGAATTCGATCATTTATATGTCAACTGAACGCTATCGAACGGGGGCCCCATCCTGTATAATACCTTGCTAGTTGTAATAAATGGGTATAGAGTTGTGCAAAGATAGTTGTATTATGGTAGTTATATAAAGATACCCTTGCTAGTTGTATAAAGATACAATATTTGACTGTACCAGCTAGGGTAACTGATCATAATATAATGATAGTTGTATAAAGTCAAATGACCCATGTGTTGAATCAAATGACCCATGCCAAAATAGTTGTACCAAATGGGTACTTGACGGTAATTACCTCATTTTGCCCGTGAGCTAGCAGCAATACCATTTTCGGTATGAAACCCCCCATTTTCAGACACAAAAAGCACAGTGTTGGTTTAAAGAAATCCCCCGTCCATTGCCATCCTATGATTTTTGCCATTGACAAACCACTCTGAAATTTAGGGCCTTTTGTAGGAGCTCGAAAAGCATGGCGCCACTCTCAACGATCTGCGAGCATAAAGATCTCGTGCTCTTCAGGTCGGCTAACCTTACCGGGGGATATGGGGACCCCATGG